GGGAGAGGAAGGGAAGGTGGCTGTGCTGCAGCTGGGGGAGCAGAAAGGCCAGCAGGGGAGGGAGGAGGCCACAGGCTGGAGCCGGAGTGCCTGAGCCCAGGCCATGCCAGACAGGAAGGAGAGGCGGGGCAGGGCCATGGCACCTGGCTCTGTGCTGATCCCTGAGCTGATCCCAGGCTACTCTGCCAGCTTGGATGCCCACAAGCAAGGTGGCTGCTGGCATCTGGAGGAAGCTGAAAGTGTGACATGTGCATTTCCTGGAAGGGCCCTGGCAGTCACAACTCAAGGTCTACAGTGAGAAAGGCAGCAGCAGAGCCTGTACGTTGGGAGTCAGTAAACCACCTTCTTTCCACCATTCAGTTAGACTGTGATGTTCTGAAAGACTCCCTGGCTCCTGCTGCTGGGGAACACACCAGGTCAGCAGGCTTGCCAGGACCTTATGCATCTGGACCTGCCACTCGCTCTGGCACATACCCTGGGACAGGATGGTGGATCTGAGGAGCACTTCAGGATCAAACGGAGCAACAGGTTTTCACACTGAATGCACACTGAATTCAAAATCCCAGCGTCCACCTCTCCACCTGCCTCCGCCTGTCTACTCCTAAATAAATCCTTTTTATATGGGAAAATACCCAAAGTTGCCTCCTGGCTTGTACAATCAGAAGCAGTTTTTATCATTGTCTACATGTGCAGTTTTTCCTGACTATGGTATTTGTGGTTCTAAGAGTTATTTCCAGTCGTAGTACTCATTAGCTGTTGTCCTCTAGCATATGATTTTATTTTTACTTCATTTGTGGTGTAAGTGATTCAGACTGTACAAACTGCACAGTGTAGCTGAGGCCCTCATGGATTACACACAGTGGTGGCAGCTTGTTAAAATGCTCCTTAAAATATCTGACCTTGGACTGCATCATGTAACTTTCATGGTGCAATATGATTCTAAATGGAGGTGCCTCAGGTGTGTGCCTCAAAGTTGTGGCTCGCACATGGCTCCTGCTGGTCTCAGCAGCTGCATGCAGGAGCAGGCACATCCCTCGGGTGTGAACAAGTGAACTATGGGATGAAAGCTGTGGGGAAGGCAGGACCTGGGCTTCTCCTCCCTCCTCAGAAAGCTGCATGACCCAGATGTGCCCCACAGAGACTGCCAGTGAGACAAACATCTGTTCTCCAATCCAGAGTCTCCTTCCTTTAGCCAGTGGTGACAGCTTGTTTATAGTGTGGAGACAATGTGGTTAGAGAGAAAGGGATCTCAGAAAAGTTCAAATTTGTCTAACATCATTTCAGCTACAAATAACAGAGGCTAGAGACAGGACCAGAATCTTCTCATCTCATAAGTCCTCATAAGTGGTGCCAGGGCACAAGCATGAGGGCTCTGCAGCTGCCCGGCAGTGGCCAGCATGGGTTGCAGCCTGGGTCAAGTCCTCAGTCCTACAGATTCCCTTTGACATACGCCAGTGCAAACTCTCAGTGGCAGTTTATGATGTGCAAGGATCTTGCACAGCAGATAATAAAGGATCATGTTTCAACCTGACTGCTATTACTGCCTCACTCCAAACCTGGTGTCCTGGGTAGAAATCTGCTTGCTGGGCTTTAATGTGAATGCTTTTGTTTTTCTGACAGTCTGATACAGCGTTCCCAGAATAGGGAGGTTAGGTCAACAACCATGGCCCAAGCACATCTTAGACCCCGGTGTTCCTGTGGCGTGGTCCTGTGTAGCAGCAGCCTGATGCCATGGTCAGCTCTGCTCCCTGTTACCCAGTTTGCTGATCTCACAAATGAGCACTCAAGCCTTCCAGCCTGCCATCTTTACTCCATTCAAAGAACACTGCAAACACAACGCTGTGTCCATTCTATCTCTGGATACAAGCATCCTGCTGTCCCCAATGATCCTCATATTCCAACAGGTACAGGGCCCTGCAGAGGCCAGAGTGAGGGGCAAAAAGGCCAAAGGCCAAAGTTTTGTCTGGGGGGATGCAGCATCTGCCTGCGAGAAGTTACTCACTTGACAGGTTGACAGAGGGTGCAGTGAAGCAGTGCACCCCAGAAAGGCATTCAAACGGGGCAGGAGGGGCCTTGCAGGGAGATGTCCCCTCCCTTGGCCTCTGGTGGCCTTTCCCAAGCACCATATGCCCCTCTAAGTAGCAGAAGCCACACGGGATGCCAAGCCCTGGTGAGCAGAGGGCCTATCAGGTGTCCTGTGTGGTGACCCGAGGGCTTCTCATTAATAAGAGAGACTGCAGTGCTGCACCTGGGCCTTGGAATGGTGACTGGGGGAAGCTCTCTCCTCTCTCTTTATAGTAACAGCACAAGAAGTAAAGCTGCTGAGAACACGAGTGGAGTCCAGGGCAGCTCTTCTACGTCAATGCTAAATGTGGAAGAAATTAATGAGTCCGTGCTCTGCACATTGAGTGTGAAAGTTTTCACCAAGAAGAAAAGTTCATTGGCTTGGCAGGCTGAGCTGGAGCCTCACAAGCTCCTGAGCCCCCACCCCAAGGGGTGAGAGGTGCAATTGGCCTGGCATCTGGACTCTGCCTTCTTCCTCCATGGGCCTTCCCATGCCTCAGGAGCAGTGGCAGCAGGTGTCCAAACAAAAGGAGGGTGCCTTCACTGTTAACATCACATACATTCTCAAGGGATGATTAGCAACGGTCATTTCCAGGGCACAGCCATGGCCCTGTGGTCCATCCAAAGAGACAGGTAGCAAAACAGCAACAGTCACTGACAGCAGGCAGGTGACAGCTTGAGGCAGTGAGATGAGCTGTCATCCTCTGGAGAGACCAGAGCAGGCCACAAACAGGTGAAGTGATTGAGGGATCAATGTCATTTATTGTTTTTAATTAATTAATATCCCTAGGTACTAAGGAACTCTAGTTGTGTGTGTTTGTGAGGTACACAGTGGGGCTGTGATTGCGCACCAAATGTGGCAGGACTGGGCCAGGCCACAGCAGCCTGGACCTCTTCCCCCCAGGCTTTTGGAAGGAGGTCTGGCACTGCTCATCAAACATGGCCTCCTCCCTCCCGCGCGGTGGCTGGGCGCCGGCCAGGGTGCAGCATACCCTTCTTTCTACCTTTGTGCACCGCCAAAATTCTCCATCATAAAAAGTTTAAAAATAGCTTTTCCCCCTTTCCCGTTCACTGATCATGGAGAAGGCTTTGCTTTCAGGCAGGCAGAGGGCGAGGAGAACCGCATCTAATTGGCCCAGCCCCCTCACTCCCGGCCAGGCCCAGCCTTACATCCCACAGGCCTGGCACCTGTAGTCCATCTCCAAAGACAGAGCAGCACGGAGCATGCAGCTTGCTGCCGGTCAGGAGATGCCCAGTCCTCTCTGGAACACACAGACCCAGGGCTTAGCAGGGACTCTTTGAGGACTCTACCCGCACCAATGAGGCTGCCCAGCCATAGCTCCCTAGCAGAAAAAGTTGGCTCCCTGGGTTTGTTTTGAGGCTGTCACTCCAGGGGTGCAGTCTGCACCACAGCTCCCTTCCTGGTGGGCTCAGGCCAAACATGCCACCTTCAGCGGGGAGTGAGCTCGGCACACAAAGATGAGCGTGCCCCAGGGCCTGATTCTCCAGGAAAAAGGAGCCAGCTTCCCCCACCACATCCGCCTAACTAGCCAAACCCCCTCCAGTGTCTGCTGCGCTAACACCGGCCTGGATAGGTAGACACGGGCGCCCAGTCCCATGGCGACACCCGGTCGGCGCATCTGTCGCTGTAGGAGGCTGCGCATCCTGGAGTCTGAGTGCCCAGCTCCCGGGCTTCTACATGCATTGGGACTCCAGGGAATGAGGGCGACCGGTAGACCTTTTCGTCGACCCTTCGCAGGCTCCCCAAAGCGCCCACCCAGTGGAGTCTGCCAAACCGTACGACCCAGAGCCGCTTCCAACTATTCCGCAAGCCTTGGAGAGAACCGCGGGAGTGCAGAGAGGCTGGACGGGAGCGCTGTGCATCGGGCTCCCGGTTCCGGCTCCGGCTACCGGGCTGAGGGCTGTCGCCTAGCGAAGCCAGTGGTGGCGAGGGCTCCGAGTCCCGGCCTGCGTCCCGGGGCCGCCAGGATCCCTAGCCGCGCGCGCTCTCGTATCGCCTCCTCACCCTTCTGCTCGCAAGCCCAGGTTCCCTCCCTCTAGTCCCGGTGGCTCTGGTCCCCAGCCCTGCGGCTGCCACTCTCCAGGTTACGGGTTTCCCGGGGTCACGCGGGACCTGAGCCCGCGGCCAGCCGTACGCCCCGGCCCGCTGCGCCCCTGGACGCTGGGACAGAGGGCAGCCGAGCGCCCCGTACCTCCCCACAGGCTCCAGATCCGCGCGCGCTAACCCGCCGTGGCGATCCCCGGACCCACCAGCTCCGCGCCTCCGGGACCGCGCGCTCCCGAGGCCGAGTCGGGAACCCCCGCACCCTTCGCGCCCGCGCCCCCGCCGGCCCCCGGGAAGAGGACTCACCTCGGGACAAGGTGACCCGCTCCCAGGCGGCCCGGCGTCTCCAGGCAGGCGCGCGTGCGGGGCGGTGCGGGGCGCGGCGCGGCGACCGCCTCCTCTGGCTCTCGATGCTCGGTCCTGCTCTCGTCCCTCTGCTCACCCCCTCCGCGTCCCTTTCCCGCCCCTCCTTTCCTCCTCCTCCCACTCCCCCGCGCGCCCCGCCCGGCGCCCGGGAGCCTAGGAGCCCAGGAGCCCCGCAGCCCCGCGGGCGGGGTCGCGTGCTCTGCGCCCCAGGAGGGGACCGGGCGGGGGCGACAGGGCGCGGGGGCCGGGGAGCAGCTCCGCGCTGAGGCTGGCACGCGCGCGGGAGGAGAGGAAGGGTTGGGGTGCGGGAGAGAAAGGGAGGGAGGGAAGAGGGGACAGGAGAGGAGGCGGCGGCCAACTTCGCAGGCCACGCGGGGGTCGCGTCTGGAACCAGGCGACTAGACTGAGCAGAGAGGAATTCTTAGCGACTCGGGAAGCAAGGGTTCCCCTCGGTCCTAAAGGCCTCTCTCCAGGCTCGGTCCGGCTGGGGCGCTGAGGCACCTACCCGTAGGTCTGGCGAATGTCCACGTTCCTGCCGCCGTGCCCGGAGCCAGGCAACTGCAGGTACAGCCCAAGACCCTGGCCCGGGTCGCCTGTAGTTGGCGCGGGAGGAACCGGGCGGTAGAAGGAAGCAGGCAAAGTGGGTGGTGAGCCAAGGGCCATGACCAGGACAATGGCACTTCTGACATTATGGGAGGGGTGTTCGCTTTTGTGGTTTCTTAGGGAACCAGAAAAAAGGTCAAAGTTACACATATTTGAATCCCACTTTAAAGTCTAGGGGCGCTCTTCTAGGTCTCCTTTGGTGGTTCAGGGCCAGTGTGTGTGTGTGTGTGTGGGGGGGGTGCGTCTGGTCCTTCCTTTTGGGGACCTTTAGCAGCCCTGAGAGCACTGCGGCCAGGAGGGGGCACCGGGGAGCAGGTCAGTGCAGCCTGAGGTGCTCAGCTGCTCTCTAGATGACTGTGAAGTCCTCTTTTCCACCTGCGGGATGCCCATTTTCACCTCTGCAGGCAGCAACCTGGTCCTCTCGGCACCGGAACCCGCTTCAGGGTCCTGGCCTGGGACTCTGGGGAGGCCCTGCGCTGTCTCTCTGCTAGCAGAAAGTTTCAAACGGGAGGAAGCCACCGTATTACCCATTACCTCAGCGGGTGGCTCACCTTCCAGGGGCAGACCAGTCTGTGGTGTGAACAGCAGAGAAGCAGACTCTGAAGACACACCCAGGAAGAAGTCAGCAGGAGACTGCATCCATGGTGAAAAACCGAGGCTTGAGGAGGCTTCTGGGGGTCCCACTGCAGCCGGTCAGCAGTCGACTTCCCTTCTCTTGTCGGGCCCCCTCTGCTCTCTGTTCCCTCTTGGGGCAGACTGTTTGCTGGCAGTATCTGGGATGTTAACACCTTTACCTCTAGGGTGTTTTGTGACTGACTAAAATTGGGCTTCTCTTGATCTAGCAGGCAGGCACCTGTGGAGCCCAGCACAGGTCCACAGGGGCCCCTGGAAGCCAGGGTAACAGCTCCAATGTCAGCTCTTGTGAATGTTCCCTGTGCCAAGTGCCTGGGATGTCCTCTGGTGGGGACTTTGAGTCTCTCCCCCAGGGGTTCTGGGACCTGTGTGGAGCTGGGGAGAGAGAGAGAGAGAGAGAGAGAGAGAGAGAGAGAGAGAGAGCGAGAGAGACAGAGACAGAGACAGAGAGTCAGAGACAGAGAGATTTAAGTAGGTTTGGTTCTCTGAGTCTGCTGTGCTTGATTTAATACTTGAGCCCTCGAATTTTATTTTCGGTGGTGCTCAAGGTCCTGCTTCTATCTCCTAGCTGCGGGTGGCCCTGCACCACTTTGCCTTGGCATCTCCCGAGGGAGGGAGCACTTGCCCTTGGAGAAGATGAGTGAATCCAGGGAGTCGTGGACATTAGAGGGTGTCCACCAAAGAAAGAAGGTGGTCTGAAAGAAAAACTAAAACACTGTGCAGTGTGGGGGGCTTAAATGGGAAGTTATTATTTCTCTCCTGCACTTGGTGTGACCTCCAGATTCCCAGCTGCCACATGTCTGTCTGCCTGACAGGACCCCTTCACCCCCTGCAAGGTAAGGATTTCTGTGATCCACACAGGCCACACAGCATCATAGAGAACCTCCTTCCCTGGGGTGCAGGCATCAAGGGTGAGCCACCTGCTCCTGACAGATGGCAGCTCTTGGAAGGCCTCCTGGTGCTCAGGTGATATGGAGGGTGCCGGCATATGTGGCCAGGGTCTCTGCCTTGGTTACACACAGAAGCCCAGTTGTCACCTGGCATGTGATCACCATTGTTTTGCTGTATGAAACCTGTAAATAAAGACCTTCAAGAAAGTCAGTGAAGAGCTGTCATGTAAGAGGCAGCGACAAGACACAGCAGAAACTGCCAAAGCCCCTGGAAATTGGTAACCTTCTCAACAACACTTATCTCTTAAAAGAGATTACAGCACTCTCAGCAAGGAGAGGTCATGGGGCTGATTCCTGAGCTTTGAGGAACTGTCACTCAGGTGCCCAGAGAGCTGTCAGGCCTTCAGCCAACTTTCAGGAGAAGCCGATACATGACAGAGATGGTGATGTGACAAAATGCAGATTCACAGATTTCCAAATAGGAGCTTGTCTTCAGTAGCCTGAACTGAAATCCTCCAGAGTAAGGGTTTGGGCACCCCTCAGGTTGCTGTGCCTGGTGTTAGGGTTGGCGATCATTCAGATACCAGGTGTAGATCTCAGGGCTCAGAAGGTCAGCTTCCCATATTGGTTGTAATAACAAAGATAAAGAATACCAGGGTGTAGTTCTAAAACTACACAGTTAGCCTTGATTTTTCCCTTTCTCCCACAAATCGTTAGTCAGCTTTTTGATGACATCTAAGAATCAACAGAAGTTTCCTTGCAGAAGTCACTGCTTGCTGATGTAGGGTAGGAAGATGCTGTTGTTTGGTGCAGACTTGATGGAGGAAGTGCTGACAAAAGCATGAATTTCGATCAGAAAGAAAGGAAAGATTCAAAATATTAAGAAGTGCAGTAAAATGTTGGAACGGGAAACAGGGGGAAATTGAATGTTCGTATTGCACAGCACGTTGGAGACTCCATGTCCACCCAGGAGCGCAGAGGGTACGGTTTGCAGGCTCTGGGATCCAAGGGCCCTGGGATGCAGATCCAACCTGCTGCCCCCACACCCACTGTCTTGCCTCTGCATCCAGGACGTCTACTTGGAAAATGTGATGGGCTGATTACTGGGGTCAGCTTGTCACATCAGCTTGACTGGATCTGTGTAGTGCTGCTGAGGGTGGATGGCCTGTCTGAGGATTTTTGCCAAGACAAAAAGCAGAACTGGAGAGGAAGCGGTAGTGTTATTGTCTCTCCATGGCATGGTTAGCTCTCTGCAGTGCTGTTGGTTCTCCTGGAGGAGCTTGCTGAGCTTCTTTCCTGATATGAACTTGGCTGTTGTCAGCAGAAGAGCTCGGGTCCTTGCTGTCACTGAGAGTGGCTGTGGTTCACTTTGAGGGAGCTCTGTCCTTGCACTGAGCCTCACTTCCTGCTTAATCTCCAGGAGAAACTTGTCATGCTGGCTTCCTATTGTGAACTCTGCTGTTCTCATTGTTAGAGGAGCTCAGGACCTCAGTGTCACTGAGGATGACAGTGGTACTTTTGGGGGAGCCCTGGTCCTTTGAGTATTGCTTCCAGGTTCCAGTGCAGAACCCTCAGTCTGCTGACACAGACTTCATCCCACTGGAACAGACTTTCTAGCTTTCACCACTCACCTTTGGGCCTTCCCGGTGCAGATCTGTGAAACAGACTTGCATGAGTCATTGTCGTGGGCTCTAGGCCTCCAGCTGGACTCGTGAGAGGCATTGTCGTGGGCTCTAGGTCTTTAGCTAAACTCATGCAGGACATTGCCATGGGATCCAGGCCCTCAGCTGGATACCTCAGGTCTTTGCATGTAGACAGATTTCCTGCACTTCTTGTATTTAACTCTTTGGGTGACTAATATAATACTGTAAATTAAGTGTCCTGTATTGTCTTGTTCTCCTTGTAAACCCTGACTACAACATAAAACATGGAGGGAGAGAGAAGGAAAATGTGTCTTCTCCATCAGTGGTCACTGCAGATGCCCCACTAATGCCCAGTGGCTTGAGGAGGGCGGGCTGTGCCTGCTCCTGTGCCACCCCTGGCTGCCCAGTCTGCCTCATGCTCAAGGCTACTGGCCAGCTGTGTCTTCTCCTGCAGAGTCTCAGGCTTCCTTGAGCTGAAGGCACAGCTCTAGGGAAGCCAGGGGAGGGGTGTTCTCTGCTGATGCATTACCTGTGGAGTAGGCTGGGAGGGGAGGTAGGAGTTTGTATCCAAGGCTTCTGTGTGGCAGTGAGGTAAATATCTCGTCAATGTCCTGGCAGGTTCTTGTCTGAGTTCTATGGGCCTGAAACGAAGGCCTTGAAGCCTGTGAGAAGGGGTCCTGACACCAAGGTGGTGAGGAGGGGACAGCACATACCGCAGCTTGTCTGCTTCAGTTCTTTATACATTAAGCCCAGGAATGAAGACATTGAGCTGAGCATGGGGCCCGTGTGTGCCCCTTCCCCGCCTAGCCAGGCATACTGAAGGCTCCGTCCAGGCCTGTCTGGCTCCCTGGGGGCCAGCATGAACAGCTGGGTCCTGTTGGGCTGGCCACACCTCAGCAGAGGGGTTGGAAGCTCTGGCCTTGGGGCCAGGCAGACTGGGCTAGCAGCAGGCACCTGCCACTTCTCATCACTCTGCCGACTCTGCAAAGCTGATTGAGTGTAATTTCATCAGCTGCTTGATGTTGTGTGCGGCAGAGGCAGGGATGTGTTTTTCTGGTCAGAGTCAGCGGGTATTGTTTTGAAGACAGTCGGCCAGCCGGGGCTGCTGGCGATCTTCCCAGGAAGAAAGCTAGTGGCCACACTGAACCCTACCTATGGGCGGCTGTGATGCTAAGAGTGCTTATGGGAAGAAGCTTGGACAGCAGACCTTGAGGTCTTCTCTTCTATCCAGGCTCTTCCTGCTACAGTGGGCAGAGGTGCATGGGATAGGTATTGTCAGCACAGATACCCTGCTCCCTTGACTGGTTCCCTGAGCTGCTACCTGGCTGCTCTGCACCTCCAAGGGCTAGCCCTGCAGGTGCTGCTCCTGCTCCTGCTCCCAGGAGGCTTCGATATCTTCTGAGGTATAGGGTGTCTGCCTTCGGAGCCTGGAGCTGGAGAGACACCAGGCCATGGCTGGGACAGTGAGTCAGAGCAGGATCCTTTGGGAAGGACCCTACCCCTGCTACACTCCAGCTTGCCCATCCTTCATCTGGCAGGCATTCAGCCAACTCCTAGGTGTCCTGGAGGTATGATTTCTCCATCTCCAGCAAGGACTTGAGGATGAAGGGTGCATCCAAGCTAGGGGCTACACAAGCAGCAGGACTGTGCTGTCAGGGCACAGGGTCTGTTGTCCTGGCCTGGACACAGCCAATGTCTGGGACCCTTGCAGACCTGATTGAAACTGACAACAGTCTGCTCCCTCTCAGTGTCTGTGCCCCCTTGGGGAGCGTTCTTCACCCTGAGCTCAAATTTCTCCAGCCTTAATTGTAAGCATTGTTAACTCTTGGGAAGCAGAGGCACTGAAATACCCAGAGTACAGGTTACAGGTGGCACCTGACTGGTGCTTCGTGTCCAAGAGCAGA